GCAAATAACTCCTTGGCATCTATTGACTGTTTGTTTGTTGTTGTTGTTGTTGTTGTTGTTGTTGTTGTTGTTGTTGTTGTTGTTCTCGTTGTTTTGCTTTTGCTCTGTTTCGAAACATAATTCCCAACCTATTTGTGATTTAGCCATACAGTGTTTGTTAACCTGTTACGTTACTGCATTTTTGTATTACTACTTTTTAGGTCTTCTGCAATGGGTTAACATGCTCCCCAGTTGTTTAACTTCCATAGCCTATTTGAGTTGTGTCCCGATGATAGAGGTGTTTAATGGTTCTTGATTTCTGCTTACGTTCATCACTTTCGTTATGGCAATGCTAAATCTCAAATGGTACTCTTTGCGCATTCCATTCCGGCTATGTGTATGCTCTTGTAAGAAATTTGCCAGGAGTACCAGCCTCTTAAGTGGGCGCTGACAGTAAAATGGTTGACAAGCATGGATTAGATGTTTCTTTTTTTTTCGCTTCTTGGTTACAGCAAGAAAAATGGTCAGTTTCACTGGGATAGCTTTGAGTCCAACTAATTGGGTCCACTTATCAAACAGACGCCATCAACGAAAATTAAAGATCTTAGGCCTTTCAAGAGTTAGATGGAAGGGGCAGGCGTGCATAAAAGAGAATCCAAAACAATTGTATATTCAGAAGGAAAACACCAGGAAATAGGAGTTGGAATTTTATTTGATGAAGCAAAAGCAAAGAGCATCAAAGGTGTCATTGCGGCTAAATTGGAAGGAAAACCTTTCCACATAGGTGTCATCCAGATATAAGCACCAACATGAGAGCATGACAACTAAGAAGTGGAGATATCTAAGACCTTGATAAGGCAATGAAACAGCTGCAATCACAAGAAGCAGTCCTGGGGGACTTAAATGCCAAAGTAGGAAATATACGCATAGAAGATACAGTTTGGCCTTGAGGACTGGGTAAAGAGAATGAACGCGGGGAACGAATGATAGAATGGTGCAGAGAACATAATTTGATGATCTCAAACACTAGGTATGAAAATCACCCAAGAAGACGATACATTTGAAGAGTCCTGACGATAGAAGTTGAAATAGAATTCATACTTATTCAGAAACATTTAAGAAATGCAATAAAATCGTTTAAATCATTGCCAGGAGCAGAGTGTGATAGCGACCATGTACCAGTCATTATTAATATGTAAAATACAGATGAGACTGAAGAAACTTAAAAAGTCAAAGTATCAACCAAAATTTGACTTAGATCTTTTAGAGATATGTCAAGAATTGAAGAAATTTTTCTCCATAGATTTCAAGCTCTGGAAAACATTACTAAATCGGAAGAACTATGGGGGGACATGAAAGACTCAATAATGGAAGCTGTGGAAGAAAATATCCCCCCGAAAGCTCAAAGAGAAAATAAAAAATGGATGAACCGGGACATTAAAAGTGATGGAAGAGAGAAGATGGGAAACATCAAATGTGGAAATAATAACATCTTGAACAAATTAATAAAGAAAAAATGCAACGAAGCAAAAGTTACATGGATAAATGATCAGTAGCAACAAATAAAGAAGAACCAAAACAAAGACAGCAAATACATGTATTCCAAAATCAAAGAAGTAAGCGGTATAAAAGGATGCTCAAATACAGGGTACATACGATCAAAAGGAGGAGATATTATTTTAATGGACAAAGGATTTGTCTTAAACAGATGGTCAGAATACATGGAAGAACATTTGAAAGATCATAGAGGAGAAAAACCGGTAGGCAATAAAGAATAAAATAAATGGACCACTAATACTGAAAGCAAAAGTACAAGTTGCCATTAGAAAAATGAAACAAGGAAAAGCCACAGTGCCAGATAATATCCAGTTAGAATGAATGTCACGCTTGAAGACCTAGACAGTGAAATAACAGCAACGCTCTTAAATTATATTTATGACAGCGGTGAGATCCCAGTTATGATGAAGTCAGTTTTCATAGCTTTACCTAAAACACCAGGTGCCACTGGGTGTGATATGTACAGAATCATTAGCCTTATGAGCCATTAAAAAATATTGCTGCATTGTCTAATGGGAAGAATGGAAAATGTCTAACACTAGAGATATCTAAAACACAATTCGGCTTTATTCCTGACATGAGCACCAGAAATGATATATTCATCTTAACATTGTTAATGGTAAGATGAACTGAAGCACAGAAAGATCTGTTTATGTTTCATAGATTATTCAAAGGCGTTCGATAAAGTTATAAATGATGAGCTATTTAAAATACTGGAAAAGCTAGATACAGATGGAAAAGATCTAAGAATTATCAAGACTTGGTACTGGGATCAAAACGCTGCAATACGAATTAATGGAAAAAATTAAGTGGAAAAAAGCAGATGAGAAGAGGAGTGAGGCAGGGATGGGGTTATGTCCCCAAACCTCTTTGACACGCGAAGTGAAACATTCTTTGATACATAGAAGAATGTACAGGTCTCAAAGTGAATTATACAAAAAAATTAATAACATCAGATATGCCTATGACACAGTTTTAACAGCAGACTCAGAAAAGTACGTTCAATCGCTTCAAGATACTGTTGTAATGAAACGTGAGCGTAAATGATTATTGTTGAATGTAAAGAAAACAGGAAGTATGGTAATATCCTTTAAAAAAAGCAGCAAATCCTATTAGTAATCTCATTAGCAAAGAAGAGAAGATCAAACAAGTCCCACAGTTTAAATATCTAGGATATATAATAACATCTGATGCCAAATGTTCCACAGAGAAATAAAACGGAAAATTGCTATGATTAAGGCTAGTGTCAACAAAAATTAACCCAATCCTAAAAAATAGAAACATCTCAATGACTACCACAATAAAAGTTCTGAAATGCTATGTATGGTCAACCTTTTTATAGTGCTTTAAATGCTGGACAATCACTAAAGACAGAGAAACTAAAATAGAAGCAACAAAAATCTGGTTTCTTATGAGGCTTCTGAAAATATCGCACAAGGAAAAAAATCAAATGAGGTTATATTTGAGGAAGCCCAAGTTGGACATACAATGTTAAAAACTGCTAGGAAACGACAAATGCAGTTTTGTGACCCCTGACTAGACATAAAGGTCTTGAACATCTAGCGCTCACTGGCAAACTCAAAGGCAAACGAGACAGGGGTAGGCCCAGAGCAACCCACTGAGAGAGCCTAAACAAATAGGGATCATGGAACGATCAGGGAAACGTAGCCCTTTTAAGAGCAACCGAGCAATAGAATGAATGGAGAACAATGATCGCCGATGTCTGCCGCAGATAGGGCACTGGATGATGATGATCAGTTGACATTTTTAAAATGTATTGTTACCTTTTAAACAATAATGTGAAATAGCACAGTGGGAAGAGTCATCTTTTTGTTTTTGGTAAGTGTTTTACGGCGCTCGCAACTGCATAAGGTCATATGAGTGCACGGGACACACCAAACATTTTCAGTTCAAGTCTCTTAAAGTCTCTAGAGATTATGATATAAAGCTGACCATGGGAGACTTTAATGCATAGTTAGGAGACACACACACAGAGCATAACGTTGGCTAAAGTTCAAATCAACGTGGCTGGCGCCTCATACAATGATGAAGAGAAAAAAAGTTCAAAATTTCAAATGCCTATCTTTAGAATCAGACAAGAAGGCAATTCACGTGGTAGAGTCCACTGTTTTGGCATGTGTTTTTTGGGGGTTTACATTTTTTTTTTCGATTGCATAGCTCACACATAGCTGATGCTTCTGACAATGATTATGATGGATTATGATGATACGTTGTTTTTGGAACGTTTCTGTACACGTATACCGTTTTTTTTTTAGTTCTAGATCTAGCTCTATCACTAGGACTCTTCCATGTGTACTTACTTCTTGGATGATTCCAAAACTAGACATTTGAAATCATTGTATTCTTTTTTCTCTGCACCATTGTATAAGGTGCTAGGCGTGTTCATTTTAGGCTACCTATTCGCCATGGCCCGACTATGTATTCTATGCATGTGTCACCTGTCTTTTATTTCAAGTCTCCGATTACTAGTTTTATATTCCTATATTTTATAAACGACTTCTAAAAAATAACAAAATTATTGTTACTTGAAAATGATCCTTTTCAAAAAGTTTATATTAGTTCAAAATGCAACAGATGTTTAGAGGGTCCACTGATAATACATGGGTAGAAATTCTCTTGTACTACTGACAATTCAATTGTATTGTTTAAATCTTTTTTTCTCCGAAGGATGCCAAAAGCCAGTCATATTTTTTTTTTATTGTTGATAACTTCTGCTTGATAGGTGGACTATTGTGGCTATCCAATTAATTGGACAAGATGATGCCCCCACTGCAACTGGGTATCGTTTTGCTGTATCCAAGAAGCAAAACAAAAATGAAAGAAAATATCCAATCCGTGCTTGTCAACCATTTTTATAATCAAAGCCCATTTTTGACACCTTCTGAAGCAAAAGCGTTCGTGCTGCCCACCTACATATATTTCCAAGAGGGGCATAAAATAGGGCATTTGGCAAAAGATATTTGGAGAAGTCTCCGGCGAGCATCCAGGAACTATTCGGAGACGCACTCCCGCACACAGATGCACTGCTTTGGGGGGGTCAAACTGCATACTATTTGCTGCAGATCACACATATAGCTACTAAAACTATCGCAAATCAATTATTTTCAAGAAAATTTCAAACCTAACTGCAAAATATCAAATTATGATTTAAAACACGGGGGCATGCCCCCCCTGTAACCCGCCCCAGATTCTTTTACTTGATCTGGAGGCACAAAGCATTTTGATCGGTCTATCCCCGTCGGAGACGTCTCCCGATAGATACTGCGTAACATAACGCCTGTCAGTACCTGGGTAATCCCAGCCGAATACCAAAATTACAAAATCGCTCTAGAATGCGCCGTATCATCCAGGTTGGCAATAACTTACCTAATACTTAGGTAATACACAAGTACGTTGAGAATATTGTCTTTAACCTTCTAGTGCCCAGTATGTCATACCACCTT